CTATGATACTATGAGGAAGGGAGTATATATAGGATGATAGATTTGGAAGAAACTATATGAATTTCCTGCATGAAAGATTAAATATGATTTCAAATCTCAAAAATGATTTCAAAGAATTCTTCCTTGCTTGATCAGGGCATATTTGCCAACAACTTCAATGAGATCAGCTTGCTTAGCTAAATCATTTTGGATGCGCATAAGTGCAAGATGAATTTAAGTCGCTCTTGACTAGTTGTGCTTCTTTTGCCATGTTTTTAATACATTTTCCAGTCTGCTGAACAATCTCTCAGCTGAAGAAACAGCAAGTAGCACTGTACACAACAGTTTTAAGGACGAGGCAGATATCAGCAAACATACTTTGCAAAATTTATTATAAAATGCATTTAGAAGTAAGTGTTTCATCAAGTTGCCTTTTGTCTCCTGTTTATCTCACATATCTGGGTGATCTGTCATATCAAGATCACCCTAATTGTAAAGGTAAAGGTTTCCCCTTGACATTAACTCTAGTTGTTACTGACTCATCTCCATTTCTAAGCCAAAGCGTTAGCACTGTCCAAAGATGCCTCCAAGAATGGGGGACGATGCCTGGCTCGAGAGCAATACATATAAAAAAGATCTTGGAGTCCTTGTGGACAACAAGTTAAATATGACCCAACAATGTGATGTGGCGGCAAAAAAAGCTAATGAGATTTTGACCTGCATCAATAGGAGCATAGTGTCTAGATCCAGGGAAGTCATGCTACCCCTCTATTCTGCCTTGGTCAGACCAGACCTGGAATCACACTCTGTCCAATTCTGGGCACCACAATTGAAGGGAGATGTTGACAAGCTGGAATGTGTCCAGAGGAGGGCAACTAAATGATCAAGGGTCTGGAGAACAAGCCCTATGAGGAATGGCTTAAAGAGCTGGGCATGTTTAACTTAAAGAAGAGAAGGCTGAGAGGAGACATGATGGCCATGTATAATTATATGAGTGGAAGTCATAGGGAGGAGGGAGCAAGCTTGTTTTCTGCTTCCCTGGAGACTAGGACACGGAACAATGGCTTCAAACTACAAGAAAGGAGATTCCACCTGAACATTAGGAAGAACTTCCTGACTGTGAGAACTGTTCAGCAGTGAAGCTCTCTGCCCCAGAGTGTGGTGGAGGCTCCTTCTTTGGAGGCTTTAAAACAGAGGCTGGATGGCCATCTGTCAGGGGTGATTTGAATGCAATATTCCTGCTTCTTGGCAGAATGGGGTTGGACTGGATGGCCCATGAGGTCTCTTCTAACTCTTTGATTCTATGATTCTATGTCTCCTCTCACCCCTTTTCTTCAGGCTAAACATGCCCAGCTCTTTAAGCCGTTCCTCACAGGGCTTGTTCTCCAGACCCTTTATCATTTTAGTTACCCTCCTCTGGACACATTCCAGCTTGTCAATATCTCTCTTCAATTATGATGCCCAGAACTGGACACAATATTCCAGGTGTGGTCTAACCAAGGCAGAATAGAGCATGGGTAGCATAACTTCCCTGGATTTGGACACCATAGATGCCTCCAAGGTAATGTGGCCAGCATGACTGCATGGAGTGCCATTACCTTCCCGCTGGAGTAGAACCTATTGATCTACTCTGTGGTCAGCACATCACCTCTTTCCCACCTTGGAAAAGGATTAGAGTGAGCAGCTGCTTAGTGAGAGGACAGGTGCTAACTTTGTAGCTAGTGCTTACCTCAGGGTAGCGACCCACATCTACCTCCCCAAAGTTCAGTCCACTGCAGTTACACTTGAGGGATAAGTCAGCATAGATGGGAGCAAATTGGACCAAATAATTCCACAATCCAGGTTACCCGCTTGCTTGTCCCATGCTAGTTCATCATCTATGGTTTTATCACTGAAATGTTTGATGTATTCAGGACCCAGGTACAAAGTTTGCTTGCATTTCATTAGGAACACTATACAGAGCGTGAGGTGAAGCAACCCTATCTGGATGTCAAGGTGGGAAATAAAAAGGATGACGTTGGCCACTTTGCTGAACATAAAGGTATTTCCCACATGCTGGTCCTCAGTAATGGATCTGCAGTTCGTCATCATCAAAATCACACTGAGAAACATCAGAATCTCTACCTCTGGCCAGTCAAAGTCACACAGGTTCCAGTCGTCGCGTGGGAGGGCAGCCCATGGCACAGCGGAGGCACTTTCCACATCAGCAGGAAGGCCACTGAGTACAGGAGCAAGAGCGGGTAGTACGGCTAGGTGAGCCAGGTTTAGATCCCCGGCATGGAGTAGAACAGCGCCAGGAGGGGTGCCAGCACCATCATCTTCACCTTCCACTGATTGAATCGCATTTACATGTTTTCAAACTGCTAGGTTGGCAAAAGCTACGGCTAACAATGAGAGCTCACCCTGCTCCCTGGATTCAAACCTCCAACCTTTCAGTCAGCAAGTTCAGCAGCTCAACACTTTAACCCGCTGTACCACCGGCATTTCCCACCCTGATCATAGAATCATAGAATAATAGAGTTGGAAAGGACCACAATAGTCACTCAGTGCATCCCCTGTCATACAGAAAAACACAATCAAAGCACTCTTGACAGATGGACATCCAGACTTTGCTTAAAAACCTCCAAAGAAGGAGACTCCACCACACTCTGAGGCAGCATCTTCCACTGCCAAACAGCTCTTACAGACAGGAAGTTTTTCCTAATGTTTAGGTGAAATCTCCTTTCTTCCAATTGGAACCCATTGCTCCATATCCTAGATCCTGGGTCTCCAGGCTACAACCTTGACAATTGCTACCCCTCTATTTTGCCTTGGAATCACACTGTGTCCAATTCCGGACACCGCAATTGAAGGGAGATGCTGACAAACTGGAATGTGTCCAGATGAGGGTGACTCAAAGAATCAAGAGAACAAGCCCTATGAGGAGCAGCTTAAAAACCTGGGCATGTTGAGCCTGCAGGAAAGAAGGCTGAGAGGAGACATGATGAGGGCTATGTATAAAAAGGTGAGGGGAAGTTATAGGGAGGAGGGAAGAGGCTTGTTTTCTTCTGCCCTGGAGACTAGGATACAATGGAACAATGGGACTGTGGCGCAGCTGTCTGAGTGGCAGCTGCATTAAGATCACTTCTGACAAAAAGGTGATGAGTTCGAAGCCAGCCCGGGTCAGAGTGAGCTTCCGACCAATTGTGTAGCTTGTTGTCGACCTTTGCAACCCCAAGGACATTTGCATCTGTCAAGTAGGAAAATTAGGTACCACCTATGTGTGGGGAGGCTAATTTAACTAATTTACAAGGCCATAAAAAAGACTCCAACAAATCACTCCAGCAAAAGCATGCAGGGAATGTGGAAGTACTTCATCAGTGTCGTAGATGGACAATGAAAGCGACAGCTCCCCTGGCGGCCAGAAAAGTTAAATAGCCTCTGACTGTCTGTCTATATTTGTTGTGTGTCTTTGGCATTGAATGTTTGACATATATGTGTACATTGTAATCTGCCCTGCAAATAAATAAATAAATAAACAATGGCTTCAAAATACAGTAAAGGAGATTCCACCTAAACATTAGGATGATATTCCTAACGGCAAGAATCATAGAATCAAAGAGTTGGAAGAGACCTCATGGGCCGTCCAGTCCAACCCCCTGCCAAGAAGCAGAAACATTGCACTCAAATCACCCCTGACAGATGGCCGTCCAGCCTCTGTTTAAAAGCTTCCAAAGAAGGAGCCTCCACCACACTCCGGGGCAGAGAGTTCCACTGCTGAATGGCTCTCACAGTCAGGAAGTTCTTCCTCATGTTCAGATGGAATCTCCTTTCTTGTAGTTTGAAGCCATTGTTCCGCGTCCTAGTCTCCAGGGAAGCAGATAACAAGCTTGCTCCCCCCTCCCTGTGCTGTTCAGCAGTGGAACTCTCTGCCCTAGAGTGTGGTGGAGGCTCCTCCTTTGGAGTCTTTTAAGCAGAGGCTGGATGGCCATCTGTTGGGGTGCTTTGAATGCGATTTTCCTGCTTCTTGGCAGAATGGGGTTGGACTGGATGGCTCACGAAGTCTCTTCCAACTCTATGATTCTATGCTCAGTCAAATGACAACCCAAATGCCAAGAATTTCCCCATCCATCAGAGAAATACAAATCTTACATGAGACATGAGAGAAGCCTCTCACAAGGATGAGAGAAGCCTCTCACAAGGATGATAAAAACATCAAATCATCCGGGCGTCCCCTGGGCAACGTCCTTGCAGACGGCCAATTCTCTCACACCAGAAGCAACTTGCAGTTTCTCAGGTCGCTCCTGACACGACAAAAAAAAAACTACTAATAATGATGGATGGAGGAGAAGCAAAATGCGAACATTAGGATACACCTTAGATGACTCCCATATTGCGCCCAGGTTGCAAGGTGAGCCACAATTTAAAAGCCAACACCTGACTTCACATTCCAGTCCGTGCGGAAGTCACGCAGGCATGCCGTCTGAGGAAAACATCCTTCTCTCCACAACACAATTGTCTTGATTTTGCTGTTTTAACCCCTGAGCTCTTTTGGATAGACAGGTAATCTTTGCAGCGTGACACAAGGTAATGCAGCCTTTCAAACCCGGACACACAGAGAGAGAATTAATGACTTTGCAGTGCAAGGAGATCAGGCGATAAGATCCCGGTCAAAAAGAGATAGCTCTGCATCACACCGGCAACCCAAAATTAGAGAGATGGACAACTTTTCTCCTCCTGAGGTTCGTCTCCTTTCCTCCCCTCCCTCCCTCTCCAGAAGCAGTTATTCGGTAACAGGTAAAAGCCAGACATTTTGAGACTGCAAAGGAAAACAAAAGAAATAAAAAGTCTCCGAAAGACAGCCAATGCCTTTAAACAAATGACCCTTTTGGTAACACAGGGATGGAGCTCTCCCCTTCCCTAACCCTCTCATTTTAAAAAATTGTAATTAGAGTTTTTGGACAAAATAGAATAAGATGGAAATCAATTCCTTTCCTGAAGGAAGACATATATATAGGAGGAGGGAAAGAAAAAAACATTACCGTCTGATCTAGGTGAATTTAATGTGGAAAGACAGAGCGGTTCTACCGGTGCCACTCTCGCGGTGTGCTTCTTCATTCTCCGGGATTGTTCGCCCTGCGATGTTACAATCCCTCCGGCGCCTTTTGCCTCCACATTGTTTCCGGTGCCCCCCTTTTCTTCCTTTTTCTCTCCCCCCAAAAATCACCACAGACTCCCTCTCTATTGCTCTGTCTAAAGACAAGATGCTGTTCGGAAGATGCCGCAGCGAGCGAGGAGGACCGTTCCCCGGTTTCCCCGGGAAACCATTTGCAAACAAGGCTTGACCTCAAAGGCAACCCTTTAGTCGCGGCCCAAAACAGCCGGCGGTTCAGGAGGCGAGACCCTAAAGGGATCTCCCCTTATCCATCTCTGCAGGGTGCCCAGGCTACCAACTTCCGAAGGATGGAATAAGCCCATTCCAAATCAGAGCACAAAATAGCATCCTTCCTAGCCTGCCCACGAATCAGAGAAGGAGGACAGGCAATTTGCTGGAGCTTCGTGCTAAGAAAGCGGATGAGAGGAGAAGGCAGCGACCAAACTTGACAACCTGCTCTCCTTTCAAGGTCTAATATTTTGGTTTTGGAGGACAAAATCTCTCTGCTCAAGCAAACCCAGGCAGCCTTTCCGCATCACCTTCCACATCTGTTGAACCTCAGGCCCCATCATAGAACCATAGTGATGAAAGAGACCCCAAAGGCCATCCAGTCCGACCCTCTTTCACGCAGGAAAATACAATCAAAGCACCCCTGACCAATGACCATTCAGCCTAGAATCATAGAATCATAGAATCAAAGAGTGGGAAGAGACCTCATGGGCCATCCAGTCCAACCCCATTCTGCCAAGAAGCAGGAATATTGCATTCAAATCACCCCTGACAGATGGCCATCCAGCCTCTGTTTAAAAGCTTCCAAAGAAGGCGCCTCCACCACACTCCGGGGCAGAGAGTTCCACTGCTGAACGGCTCTCACAGTCAGGAAGTTGTTCCTAATGTTCAGGTGGAATCTCCATTCTTGTAGTTTGAAGCCATTGTTCCGTGTCCTAGTCTCCAGGGCAGCAGAAAACAAGCTTGCTTCCTCCTCCCTGTGGCTTCCTCTCACATATTTATACATGGCTATCATATCCCCTCTCAGCCCTCTCTTCTTCAGGCTAAACATGCCCAGCTCCTTAAGCTGCTCCTCATAGGGCTTGTTCTCCAGACCTTTTATCATTTTAGTCGCTCTCCTCTGGACACATTCCAGCTTGTCAATATCTCTCTTGAATTGTGGTGCCCAGAATTGGACACAATATTCCCGGTATGGTCTAACCAAAGCAGAATAGAGGGGTAGCATTACTTCCCTAGATCTAGACACTAGGGACACTAGGGCTCCTACTGATGCCTCCGCTTAAAAACCTCCAGACAAGGAGACTTTATCACATTTCAGAACTCCGACTCATGGATGGAAAAGCTCTATAAAATACCATATAAAATCCAAATTATCTACTTTGAACTGGATTATCTGGCATATCATCCAGTTCAAAGCAGACAATGTGGATCATCTGCTTTGATAATCAGGATCATACGGCAGTGTAGAAGGGGCCTGAGGCTTCCTCACCCAAAGCCTGTTCAACACAATGAGAGAGTAACATTAGGAAACTTGTAAGTAAATTGCTACATAGAATCATAGAATCACAGAGCTGGAAGAGACCTCATGGGCCATACAGTCCAACCCCCTGCCAAGAAGCAGGAAAATTGCATTCAAAGCACCCCCAACAGATGGCCATCCAGCCTCTGTTTAAAAACCTCCAAAGAAGGCAACTCCACCACACTCCGGGGCAGAGAGTTCCACTGCTGAACAGCTCTCACAGTCAGGAAGTTCTTCCTCATGTTCAGATGGAATCTCCTTTCTTGTAGTTTGAAACCATTGTTCCGCGTCCTAGTCTCCAAGGAAGCAGAAAACAAGCTTGCTCCCTCCTCCCTGTGACTTCCTCTCACATATTTATACATGGCTATCATGTCTCCTCTCAGCCTTCTCTTCTTCAGGCTAAACATACCCAGCTCTCCTCTCAGCCTTCTCTTCTTCAGACTTCCCCTCACATATTAATACAAGGTTATCATGTCTCAGCCTTCTCTTCTTCAGGCTAAACATGCCCAGCTCTTTAAGCCACTCCTCATAGGACTTGTTCTCTGGATCCTTGATCATTTTAGTCACCCTCCTCTGGACACATTCCAGCTTGTGAATATCTCTCTTCAATTGTCATGCCCAGAATTGGACACAGTATTCCCAGATGTGGTCTAATCAAGGCAGAATAGAGGGGGGAAAATAACTTCCCTGGATCTAGACACTAGACTCCTATTGATGCAGGCCAAAATCCCATTGGATTTTTTTTTTTGCCACTGCATCACATTGTTGGCTTATGTTTAACTTGTTGTCCACAAGGATCCAAAGATCTTTTTCACACGTACTGCTCTCGAGCCAGGCGTCCCCCATTCTGAATATTTCAATTTCCTTTTTTCTGCCTAAGTGGAGTATCTTGCATTTGTCCTTGTTGAACTTCATTGTCTTAGTTTTGGCCATTCATCTCTCTAATCCGTTAAGATCATTTTGAATTCTGCTCCTGTCCTCTGGAGTATTGGTTATCCCTCCCAATTTGGTGTTGTCTGCAAACTTTATGATCATGACTTCTAACCCTGGCTTGTTCAGTAGACTCTCCTCTACAGTTCCATTTTGGTCAGAAGCCTTAGCATTGAACAGTTGTGTTGTTAAAGTGTGAAGTATGGAACACTGCACAGACGGTCAGTCAATGCAACTTAAGCAACGTGCAGTCATTGAATTCTTGATAGCAGAAGGTGTCACCTCAACATCTTTAAACTTACTCACCCAATGGCGCACAGTACTCACATCAACACAATCACCATGAACAGTTTGCATTCTCTGATAAATCTCCATTGGGGAGATTTCTGCTGTCAAGAATTCAATGACTGCACGTTGCTTAAGTCGCTTTGACCGGCCATCTGCATAGGGTTCCATACTTCGCACTTTAACAACACAACCATTCAATCCTAAGGCTTTCCACCAAAATGGAACTGTAGAGGAGAGTCTACTGAACAAGCTAGTACCTGCCACATACCAGTACCACCATGTATTGAGGAGTTAGGAAGGTGGAGGCATTACTTTTCATTCAACCCTCCTAGATACAGCCTGAGTGACCTTGGCAAGTCACATTCTCTCAGCTTCAGAAGAAGGCATTGCAATGAAAATCCTTTTAACTCAATTGTCATCAGCCAAACTTGACTTGAATGCATGTAACAACACAACAAGAGAATGTGGAGCAATGGCCTAAGCGTTGAACTAAAACTATGGGAGACCACGATTTGAATCTATGTTCAGTTGGATCCAGTGGGCGTCTATAAGCAAGTCACACTCTCGCAACCTCAGAGGAAGGCAAAGGCAAACTCCCTCTGAACAAATCTTACCTAGAAAACCCTCAGAAAGTCACCTTAGGGTTGCCATAAAATGGGATTAACTTGAAGTCAAACAACAACAACAACAGATGAACACGATTCTAGTTGCAAATATTCTTCCCTAGATCCAGACACTATGGCCTGCATCAATAGGAGCATAGTGTCTAGATCTAGGGAAGTAATGCTACCCCTCTATTCTGCTCTGGTTAGACCACACCTGGAATATTGTGTCCAATTCTGGGCATTACAATTGAAGAGAGATATTGACAAGCTGGAATGTGTTCAGAAGAGGGCAACTAAAACGATCAAGGGTCTGGAGAACAAGCCCTATGAGGAGTGGCTTAAGGAGCTGGGCATGTTTAGCCTGAAGAAGAGAAGGCTGAGAGGAGATACGATAGCCATGTAGAAATATGTGAGAGGAAGCCACAGGGAGGAGGGAGCAAGCTTGTTTTCTGCTTCCCTGGAGACGAGGACGCAATGGAACAATGGTTTCAAACTACAGAGAGGAGATTCCATCTGAACACGAGGAAGAACTTCCTGACTGTGAGAGCCATTCAGCAGTGGAACTCTCTGCCCCGGAGTGTGGTGGAGGCTCCTTCTTTGGAAGCTTTTAAACAGAGGCTGGATGGCCATCTGTCAGGGGTGCTTTGAATGCAATATTCCTGCTTCTTGGCAGAATGGGGTTGGACTGGATGGCCCATGAGGTCTCCTCCAACTCTTTGATTCTATGATTCTATGATTCTTGATCAAAAAAGGACTTTCCTATGAAATGGTGCTTCTGAGAAGTCCCAGAACTCCTCAGATACTCTCTTATCATCTTGAATGCAGAAGGGCACTTAATGCCAATTCTACTGCCTTTCAAGAACCATCCATTCTTCTTCGGAAGCGTTTTTTCAATAGTCAAAATATCCAACTTGTTTTCCTTACATCTGGATTGAGTATTGTAAGAGTGTTTTTCATTGGTTGTGATGTCTTGATTGCTGTAAAACTTTGTAATAGGATTATGCTAAACAGCAACATACACATAAATAACTAAGTCGCTGCTTTCCCTGTTAGTTTTCAAGAAGGTTGGCTTTTCAAACAAAGTGCCTCTAAGCCAGTGTTTCTCAACCTTCCTCATGGCACGACGCCTTAATACAGTTCCTCATGTTGTAGTGACCCCCAACCATAAAATTATTTTTGTTGCTTCTTCATAACTGTAATTTTACTACTGTTATGCATCGTCATGTAAATATCTGATATGCAGGATGTATTTTCATTCACTGGACCAAATTTGGCACAAATACCCAATACGCTGTAGTTTGAATACTGGTGGGTTTGGAGGGTGGGGATTGATTTTGTCATTTGGGAGTTGTAGTTGCTGGGATTTATAGTTCACCCACAATCAAAGAGCATTCTAAACTCCAGCAATGATGAAATCGAACCAAACTTGGCACACAGAACTCCCATGACCAACAGAAATCACTGGAAGGGTTTGGTGGGCATTGACCTTGAGTTTTGGAGTTGTAGTTCACCTACATCCAGAGAGCACTGTGGACTCAAACAATGATGGAACTGGACCAAACTTGACACGAATACTCAATATCCCCAAGTGTGAACGCTGGTGGAATTTGGGGAAAATAGACCTTGGGAGTTGTAGTTACTGGGATTTATAGTTCACCTATATCAAAGAGCATTCTGAACTCCACCAATGATGAATTGGGCCAAGACTTCCCACACAGAACCCTCATGACCAACAGAAAATACTGTGTTTTCTGATGGTCTTTGGTGCCCTCTGGCATCCCCTCGTGACTCCCCCCCAGGAGTCCCAACTCCCAGGTTAAGAAATGCTGCTTTAAGAGGAGCTTGGAAAATTGCTTTATGTCATGTCTAGTCAGCCAGATGTAGAGATTCCTAGAGAGAACATTTCAATCAAATTATAAAATCCAGATTATCTGCTTTGAACCAGATGATATGGCCAGGTAGACTGATACAATCCAGTTCAAAGCAAAAAATCAGGATTATCTGTTCTCATAATCTGGATTATAGGGCTCCACGGTGGCGCAGCAGGTTAAACCACTGAGCTGCTGAGCTTGCTGA